AATGAATAATCAAACCATTTGCCTGGACAGGAGACTCCTGGAAAAAGAAATTCATGCTAATGGAGACAGAAATAGCACAAGGTCGTTTTCGTGTAGACAGTAAGGCGTGATTTCGGTTCTCAGTATCCAAGCTGACTATAGGGTACACGTTTCAGTTCTCATGTCTACTCAGATAATCTGATAACAGATGAACTGAAGCATTTGAGTTTTTATTTGCAGCTCCTTTTTTTGTAGCATTTTGACACAAGCATTTTACATTTCAGCATTGCTTTGCAATCTTTTATTAGCTTCTTAGCCTATTTCTCATGTTAGGGAAAATTAAAACAGGAAAATTTTCCAGACAAATGCCCACCAGCAGTTACCGTGAGAACCCTGCAACAAATCCCATACACCTAGAGGGGGCAGCAGAGGGAAGCCAAATTCTATGCTTACTGGAAACAGCAACTCATCATTTTGGGCAGTTCTTAAAAGGCGACTGATGAAATCATGGGTGCTGGGTACTTTCCAAGAGATGAAAATCCTCTGAAGCAGGCAGGAAATTGCCATCTTTTAAAAGTTCCAGCTCTGTCTTCAGATCGCTTGTCTCTTTCTCTTTAAGTTGGAAGCAGGGAAATTGTGGGATCATTGCAAGCTCTATTTCAGATTCTTTCTTAACCCAGTTCCCACGTAGGATATAAATTCCATTAGATGCCTCTGACTTCTGTTTTCTCTCTGACACACGTGGGTCGTCACGGTTTTGGGAAGCACAGGAGGGTGGTCTGGGGTGATGAGGCATTCTTAGCTGAAGAGGCCATCTAGGGGTGAAGCACTGAGGATGGTTAACATTTGAAAGAAGTGTGAACACTGTATTTACATTTAAATTAAAATGGAAACTTCTTATAGGTTATGTTTCCGAAAGGTGTGTGTGGTGCATCTGCTGAGGTCTATTGTTTATTCATGCTGTAAATCCTTTGAAATGTGTTAAAATGCTTCCCACTCATTATAAAGCTCCTGCCACCCCTGGATTACGACTTTGATGTCACCAATCCTGCTTCAAAGGGTTCTTTCTGGGCTATTAATCACAGTTTAGCCTCTGAAGATATCGCCAGAGAAAACATTTGGACGTCTTTGTGCTAGGCTTGCTAAAAACTTTGAAATCTTGAGTGTCTTGCATATGCACAAATTGCGGCATTTCCTTTCATTGACAACTTTTTATTTTGCTACAGAATCAAATGACATTGCAGGTAAAAATGCAAACAGATCTTTTAATGCACTCAGTTTGGGAGGAGAGAGATCAGAGAGGAGGTGAAGGGTGGGTGGGTGGTGAGGAGAGAAGAGTTTGAGCAGGCCATTCAGACCCTTCAAAGATAAAAAGCAGAGGAATCAGAGTGGCCAAGAGATCAAAAACTCAGGAAAACTCAAAGAGGAGTTGCCTTATCATTTTTTCTTATCTTTCATTTGGTTTTTGATTAACCAGTGCTCACAGTAGCAAATTGGTGCGATTCCCTGGTCTTCTCTTGCCTTACACTCTCTGCTTTGAGACCTATGTGAACTTTTCTCAGCAAATAATAATAATAATAATAATAATAACCACTGCCACCGCCATCATCATCAATGCTAGTTAACATGAAGTGGGCACTTATCTTGTACCAGCCCGTGCTGACAGTGCTTTTCGTGAATTATCTTGTTGAATGCCCATAACGAATCTGAGAATTAGGTAGTACTATCTTCATGTTATAGACAAGGAAACTGAGGTTCTGAGATGTTAATTAACTTGTTCAAGGTCACGCCCCTGGCGAATGAAAAGACCTGTCAGCTCCCAGGACTCAGAGGCTGCTGCCCAAGCTCTCTTTATCCTCTGGTCACTACCCATACGGCTAGATCTGCTCATCTATGTCTATGTCTTAAACCTTTACAACTTCTTGCCCAACCTCTCTTTCAGGAAAACTCCCAACATTGTTTTTCTTCCATATCCATCTTTTTCAATGGCTACCAGTGCCCTAATTGGAGACTTATTTTTAAAATTGTGGTAAAAACACATAACAGGAAATCTACCCTCCTAACAAATTTTTAAGTGTACAGGACAATATTGTTCACTATATGCACATTATTGTACAGTAGATCTATGGAACTTTTTCATCTTGCATGACTGAAACTCTATACCCATTGAAAACAATTCCCCACTTCCCTGTCCCCCAGCCTCCGGCAACCAACATTCTACTCTCTGCTCTTATGAGTTTGGCTACTTTCGATACCTCATATAAGTGAAATCATCCCGTATTTGTCCTTCTGTGACTGGCTTATTTCACTTAGCTTAATGTCCTCCAGGCTCATCCATGTTGTCCCAAACGGCAGGATTTCCTTCTTTTTTAAGGCTGAATAAATATTCCATTGTGTGTGTATACCACATTTTCTTTATCCATTCATCCTTTGATGAACATTTAGTTTGTTTCCACTGCTTGGCTGTTGTGAATAATGCTTCAATGAACATGGGATATCTCTTCGAGATTCTGTTTTCAATTTTTTTGGATAAAACCCAGAAGTGGTATTGCTAGATCATATGTAGTCCTATTTTTAATTTTTTAAAGAACTTCCCTACTGTTTTCCACCAGCAGTACCCAAGGGTTCCCTTTTCTCCAAACCCTCACAAACTCTTGTTATTTTCTGTTGTTGTTGTTACTGTTGTTGTTTTTTATAATGACCACCCTAACAGGTGTGAGGTGATATCTCATTGTAGTTTTGATTTGCATTTCCCTGATTGTTGGTGATGTTGAACATCTTTTTATATACCTGTTGGCGATTTGTATGTAATCTTTGAAGAAATGTCTATTCAACTTATTGGCCCATTTTTTAATCAGGGTATTTTATTTTATATTTTACTATTGAGTTGTAGGAGTTCCTTATATTTTTTAATCAGATATGTGGTTTACAAGTATTTTCTCACATTCTGTATGTTGCCTTTTCCCTCTGTCGATGGTTTCCTTTGCTACACAGAGGCTGTTAGTTTGATGTAGTCCCACTTGTCCATTTTTTGGTTTTGTTATTTGTGCTTATGACGTCCTATCCAAGAAATCATTGCCAAGACAGATGTTATGAAGCTTTCCCCCTATATTTTCTTCTAAGATGTTTATAGTTTCCGGTCTTACATTTTTAAGTCTTTAATCCATTTTGAGTTGATTTTTGTATATTGTGTGAGATCAAGGTCCATTTTCATTCTTTTGCATGTGGATATCCAGTTTCCCAACACCATTTGTCCTTTCCCTGTTGTATAGTCTTGGCACCCATGTCACAGATCATTTGACCATATATATATGGGTTCATTTTTGAGCTCTCTATTCTGTTCCATTGGTCTACATGTCTGTCTTTCTGCTGGTACCACACTGTTTTGATTACTGTAGCTTTATAGTATATTTTGAAATAGGAATTGTGAGACCTTCAGCTTTTTTCTTCCTTCTCGAGATTGTTTTGGCACTTTGGGGTCCTAAGGTTTTATATGAATTTTAGGATTGTTTTTTCTATTTCTACAAAAAATGCCATTGGGATTTTGATGGAGATTGCATTGAAACTGTAGATCTCTTTGGATAGTATGGACATTTTAACAATATTAGGTCTTCTGATCCATGAACGTGGTGAAGGGTAGCAGAATATGCTACCCCCAAACATGCCACTTTGGCATGAGGACTATTTTGAGCTGAAGGCAGTTGAGAAGCAGATACAAGAAAAGCTTGTTGCCCTCCTCCTATTTGCCTAAAAGCATGATATAAATTTGTAAAGATGCCTCCCCCCTTTCTCTACCAGGAAAGACAGACGTTAATTACCAGAGACAACTCTAGACCCTCATTACCCAGAGACAGCACCAGAGGAATTTATATAACAAACTTTACTAACTAACCCTTATTTTCCATTAGCTTCCCCATGTAATTACCTTCCTGCAATTTACTGCCCCTAGATACTCAAAGTTCTTTTCTTTCATCTTGTCACTTCTTTACAATTTTATTGTTCTTTTGTTAAGATGCTATATAAGCCCAAGTTCTAACCACCTCTTTGAGTTACTCATCACTGAGTACTCCTGTGTATGTGTGATGCATAGGTTAATAAACTTCCATTTGTTACTCTCTTGTTAATCTGTTTTTTTTCAGTCTAATTTGCAGGGCTCCAGCCAGTGAACCTAAGATGGATAAAGGAAAAAGATTTATTTCCTCCCCCACAACGGGATGTCTTTCCATTTATTTGTGTCTTCATTAATTTCTTTTAGGAATGTTTTGTAGTTTTCAGTGTATAAGACTTTTGCCTCCTTGGTTAACTTTATTCCAAAGTATTTTATTCTTTTTGATGTTATTGTAAATGGGATTGTTTTCTTAATTTCCTTTTTGGATTTTCATTGTTAGTGTAGAGAAATATAACTGATTTTTGTCTGTTGATTTTATATCCTAATACTTTGCTAAAATCATTTATTTGTTCTAACAATTTTTTTGTAAGATTTTTAGAATTTTCTCCATGTAAGATCATGTCACCAGTGAACAGATAATTTTACTTTTTTCTTTCAGATTTGGATGCCTTTTATCTCTTTTTCTTGCCTAATTGCTCTAGCTAGGACTACCAGTACTATGTTGAATAGAAGTGGTGAGAGTGGGAATCCTTGCCTTGTTCCTGACCTTAGAGGAAAAGCTTTCAGTTTTTCGCTGTTGAGTATGTTAGCTGTGAGCTTTTCATATATGGCCTTTTCATGTTGTGGTAATTTCCTTCTATTCTTAGTTTATTGAGTGAATTGGAGACTTTGTATTTGTTTTTGGTTTTTTGCTTATGAAACTAATATAGATTCAATTATATGAGAAATTATTTACAAATAATTTATAAATAATTATTATAATTTTTAATTATAAAAAATTTCCCAATTTTTCAAATTCAGATCAGATCATTTGGAAAGTTCAGAAAAATACAAGGGCACAAAGGGAAAAATTACTCATGATCCTATTCTTTAACTTTTCCTTCAATTTAACTTCTTTGTCTTTTTCACTCAGGTAACTTGGCCCAAACAAGAGCCAGGATAACAGCCACCTCAAGATCTTTGCCTCCACATTTCAGTGTTGGGAGAGTCAAGGTGAGTAGCAGGTTTGTGCCCAAAATAATGTGGTACACAGGGTGCTCCTTCCCTGGGGATAATCCTGGGCACTACCTGGGCAATCTGGAAAAAAGATTGAAGGCATTTAGGAAATCAGGGATTAGGAAATTTGAAAGAACATCATGGAATCCTTATAAATCCTGTGTTGGGAAGGAAAAACTTTTCCTCTGCCCTCTTAAGTTCAGTAGTTGGAGGCCTATGAATTAAACTCAAACTGACAGATTAACAAGAGAAAAAACAGATTTGAATCATGTACATACAGGAGTTCACCAAAAAATGTGCCTCAAAAGGGCCGTTAGAATTTGGGGCTCATCTACCATCTTAGTAGAGGATAAAGAGGAGGAGAAGGGCACTTCTGGGAGAACAAACGACTTTTGGGAAAAATAAATGGTCCCGTAGGATAATAGACGGGAAGTATTATAGTTTTATGACAATGTCTGTTTAGGCAATTTCTTATCCCATTGCTGACTTCTCATCTCTGGTGATAGGAGTCAATCTTTCCTGACTGTGAAACTGCTAGGGAGGGCATTTATGACAGTTGAATTCTTTTGGGAAGCTCTCTTGTTAGGCGGATAAGAGGAGTTCAGAAAAAGCTACTTCCTGCAGCTGTTGATTCTCAAATGTCTTCAGCTCAATGTAATTCCTGTGCCACTGTGGGATATTTTGGACCCCTTCACCTGATTCTCAGAGAAACCGCTTAAGATACAGAACAATGGCACTTGAAAATAAAGTCCGTCTAGGAAGAGATAAAGCACTTTTCCTTGAGGCTGTCACCCTCCTACAGAGGACAATAGCAGGGACCAAATGGAGTCAGCAGGGTGGAAAGAAACCAAACCGTTTCCTATCGTTCCGCTTTGTCCTCTGAAAAATGAGCAGTGCACTTGTCTCTGCAAAGGGGATGTTAGAAGAGTTAATAAATATCACGCTGTAAAAAATCTTTAACTGTTCTATCCTTCCAGCTAATGTTGTTTAACAAGGATCTCAAGGACTGGCTGGTTAATGTTCATCATATACACTAACACCAAAAACAATTATCTTGAAGGTAATGGAGTAATAAAATAAATAGATCACATCTCTGAATTTTCTTATCTCTTTGTTTACATTGGATATTACGTTATTTAGTTAAAGAATAAGCAATTCAGCCACACATGATACTGTCGAATATTATCCTAAAATTGATATAGACATATGTATCTGTACTTACTTCCTCTGAGAATAAAAGACTTACCTGCACACAATAGGTACTCAGATCGTTTTCGTTAACAATAATTTTTATACCCAAATTGCTATTATAATCTGGTGTAATACTGTACTTTTCAACCTTACAAATTTGTAGCAAGATATTAGAACTATTTAACATGGTTATGTGGACCCCTAGAAGAGATTTGCATAGGAGTTTCAGTGGTTCTGAGAGCCTTTTGATATTACATGTAAAATTTTGTTTGTGTTAAATACAGTTGATTTTCACGATTCGTGAAAGTTATGTTCTATAAAGTCACTCTGAGCACTGAATCAGCAGATATTGAAGCATTGCTCCTAGGGAAAATGCATGGTTATCTTCCCGCAATCCTCTGGTCACAACATTTTTGTCAACAGATTAATACATAACCTTGTTTTATGTATGCTTCTATTTAAAGACACCTTATTTAACATATATTTTTAACAAATAATTATGTGCGGTATTTCTTTATATAAAACATTTCAATTACAGTATTTGTGTCATCGAACTGGTCAACAGCACTATAACTCATGCCTGAACAAAGCTTATCTAACACATGTATGTTCTCCAAGAGGCACATCACAGCCTTCTTGCACTTAGGAACACTAGACAGACTTCAGCACTATGCTTGTGGGCTGTTTTAAATAGTGAAATCACCAGCCAAAAGCATAAAAGTGCAAAAAACGTGGCGCTTAAATAGACCTCAAAAAAGACACTTGTTTATAGCATGAGAGGTGAAACGAGAAGGCGGAGTGTCACCTTGTTCAACCTTGGCTGGAAACGTGTGCATCAGGTGACTCAAATGTTTCACCACTCTGCATGTCTGTGAGTGACCGTGAAAGCATTGTAAGTATTAGTTTAGGGGTTACAAATAAATTTTAGCAAGTAGGCAAATTCACAAATATAGAATCCACAAATAATGAGGATCAATTGTATATGTCTTTTTTGGAGTCATTGGTTTCCACCAGATTCTAAAAGGGATCATGATACAAAAAGATGAAATATTCTGTGTAATATTCTCTGTCACCCCATATTCCCCTGCTTTCTTCAATTTGATTTTTTGACTGCTGGACTGTGCCAAGACCTGTTCCCCTGCCTTCCACACCCAGAACACCAGCACAGTGTTACCTCCCTCCCTGTATTGCCTACTATTGTTCAGGCCCTGCCTGTGTGAAAAGTGTGCCCTCCAGTGTGTGGAGTGTATTTCCCTCAGTGTACAGCATACGTTGCTTGACAGAGATTAATTCTGAGAAATGCATTGTTAGGCAATTTCATAGTTGTATGAAGATCATAGAGTGTAGTTACATAAACCTAGTTGGTATAACCTACTATGCACCTAGGCTATATGCCATTGTACAGGTGGTCTGTTGTTGATCGAAACATCGTTATGTGGTGCATGACTGTAATAATAATGTATATAGGTGAGATGAAAATGACTAGAGATTTGTTTTCACTTGGAAGGGAGATGAGTTGAAAGTTCTAATTAAGACATTGGAAAATATGAACGGTAACAACAGCAATAAAAAAAACTCCATCAGGGGCCAGCCCGTGGCTTAGCGGTTAGGTGCGTGCTCCACTACTGGCCGCCGGGGTTCGGATCCTGGGCGCGCACCGACGCACCGCTTGTCCGGCCATGCTGAGGTGGCGTCCCACATACAGCAACTAGAAGGATGTGCAACTATGACATACAACTATCTACTGGGGCTTTGGGGAGAAAAAGGGGGAAAAAAGGAGGAGGATTGGCAATAGATGTTAGCTCAGGGCCAGTCTTCCTTAGAAAAAAAAAAAAAAAAAAACTCCATCAGTTCCTCTCTGCCTTATCTAAGACAAAATAACAGAGGTGGCCTTGTAGGAAGCTGGCCACCTGCACATTCAGCACTGCTCAACTGGCCGGTGTCAATGCCAGTGTTTCTTTCCCATTCAGTGCTATCGAGGCTTTTGAGAGCAGTGATGCTGTAGGGATTTTTTCCTTAAGGTATGGATGCATCACTTGATAGCAGTAAAAATTTTTGACAAAAGGCCTTGTCAAGAAGATAAATAAAACTTCTTCTGAGGTTTCAGGATGCAAATAGTGGGTACTTACTGAGACCAGGAAAAAATCCTTCATTTTTATCATTTATTGCTGAACTCTGCATGGTTTATGAGACTTTTTGGAGTCTATGTCTTTATCCTAGGGTAAATTTAGTTGACAGGTGAGGCAAATCTTCTTAATAATACCATGCTTTCAGACAGATTTTATAAGTTATATCAAACCACATAGAAAAGCAGTATATAATTTTTAACAAGGAAGGTTTTGGAATCAGATAGAACTGGGTTCAGATCTGGTCATGGCCAATTATTAGCTGCAAGACTCTGGGAAATTTGCCTAAAACCTCTGAGCCATAATTTCCTCATATGTAGAAGAGGAATAGTAATAGTACTTACCTCATAGGGTTGTTTTGAGAATTCAGTGACATAATGTAGGCAAAGTGTTTAGTACAGTGATTTCACATGGGAAACAATAAATATTTTGTTACTAACATTTTGATAACCATCTAAAATGCCATGTGTGGGGTCCATGCATATACAGAAGCTTGCTCATTTCCTGTGAGCTTGGGATCTGTACCACAATTTGTAAAGCTTACTCATGACTTCTTTGAAGGCTAACCAGTCCCTCTCACAGGGAATCAGGCAGGACATTTGTCATGTAGGCAGAAAGCAAGCTTGCTCAGCTCCAATTGACTTATATTGTCGTATAAATTGGTGTTGTAGGAGAAAGATATACTGGGTTAGACAGACAATAGTTTTATCAGGAATATCTGTTCTACTGATCATTTTGAAATTGGTTTCATTGGAAGTATTATCTCTGCCAATAAGTAAATAAAGATCTCCTTGATGTGTTGTGTGGGTGCTAGTACTCACCTTCTGCCATTGAAGAAAGCTCTGCATCCTTGATATCAATCATTAAACTAAAACTAAATCCAGCATGGTAATGATGTAAAGGGAACTGATGTTACTTCTTGTGTGTGTGCAAGGCAGTAGTTTTTATCAGTTTTACTAATGAGGAAAGCAGAGGCTTTGAGAAGTTAAATACCAAGTCCAAGACTGTAGCTAGTAAGTGGAGGCTCCAGAATTTGAACCAGGTGTGTCTGATTCCAAAACTCGGTGCTCTTCTTTTCTAGTCTCTTTTCCTCCTATCTTATGTAAAACTTATAAGATACTTTGGAGAGGACTGTTTTTTTCTTGTGAAATCCATACGCTTGGGAAGAGGTATTTGCTAGATGATGCCCATAATAGAATCTACTTTCTGGATTGTTTCTGAGACTTTTTTTTTTTAATTAAATGAGGCTACTATTAACTAAATTAGCCCTGGAAGACAAACTCTTAGGTTAGACAACAACCTTCTCATCTCTTTTGGTTTTGATTTTTTAGAGTTCATTGGAGTTCTTTGGAGTTCATGGTAGGCCTGGTACAGACAGAGGTCTTCTAGTTTGAAGGGCCAAGAGAGTCAACTTCTGGATCTCTTTTAGATCCACTCTGTATTCAGAAGAACCTTGTGACTATGCAAATATACAAGAGACCCTTGACCAACCCGAGACCCTTCCAAATTCTTAAATTAGAAAATACCCTGATAGCATATTATTTATTTTTTAAAATACAGTACCAAATATGTGGGTGATGACTGCAGACAAGCATTAGCATTTCCAGGTTGTATATAACACAGAGTAGGTTTTTACTTACTTCCTATAGTTACTCTGTATGTGAGTACAAGGACAGAACTTCAAGTCGTGCTGGGTGGTTAGACAGGGGAGCCCACCAGCCTTATAACTTTTGGAGTGTAAATTCTATATTTTTCCAGTTTGCTGCAGGAGACAGATACTGATCTTGAAAACAATACACACTATATCTTTTAAATTAATGTCTCAGCAGAATTAAAATCAAGGATTTTCTGATCACTAAACTTTTACATTCTCTTTTTTTTTTTTTTTTTTTTTTTTTTTTTTTTTTTAAAGATTTTTTTTTTTTTTTTTTTCCCCCCAAAGCCCCAGTAGATAGTTGTGTGTCATAGCTGCACATCCTTCTAGTTGCTGTATGTGGGACGCGGCCTCAGCATGGCCGGAGAAGCAGCGCATCGGTGCGAGCCCGGGATCCCAACCCGGGTTGCCAGCAGTGGAGCGCGCTCACTTAACCACCAAGCCACGGGGCCGGCCCCAAAAACTTTTACATTCTCAAATGCCGAAGGTCCACTGTACTTTCTGAGGGAGGGTAACAGGTAAATTCTACTAATAAGAGAAACACGGATGAGCTTTTCAGCTGCCCTTTTACAGCGTGAACCTGAGGGGCTGGCACTCACTGGCTAATTTGAATAAACAGGGAGGCAAATGAAGGAGGGAAAGCAAGGTTCAAAGCAAGATTTGGCTCTTCAGGGAGGATCTCTGAAGAAAAGGAAGTGGTGGGAAAATTCCCAAAAGGTGTGTGTGTGTGTGTGTGTGTGTGTGTGTGTGTGGGCGTGTGTGAGAGAGAGAGAGAGAGAGAAAGTCCAGGGGGTGGGGGGTGGGAATAAAGAGAAAAAAAGTTTAAGCAAACTCTCAGATTTTGCAGTTCGTCTGAAGGCAGACCCTTCCAAGATCTTCTTTCCTTCGGTCCTGACTAGCTTGCCCCAAACCTCACCAGCTCTGAGTTCTGTCCTCCAAGTGGGGATGAGATGGAGCAAGAAACCTTCAGCGTGGTCCCGGCAGATTGACCCTGGAGAGAGAGAGTGCAGTACGATCTCTGCAGGGGATGCGGGGATGTTGTGTTTGTTTTTCCCTTTCCTATATTAGAGCAGCCTTCCTTTTAAACACAGAGCTTTCATTTCCTCCTTTCTCATTAAAAAAATAAAAAAGTCAAACCTACAGGCGGTTGTACCACTGCTTCAGCTGCATACAAATGAATTGACAGCTTGGGAATGCATCCAATCTGCAGCCTAGAAGAAGAAAGCTGCACTGCCCCGACATCGCTTCATTCAGAGATATCCTCATATTCCCGCTCACTATTTAGGTTGCTTTTCCAGCTTTTGAAAACTTAGCTCCCTATTTATTCCCCTTCTTAAATAAATCTGTTTTTTTTTTTTTTTTGTCCAAGCCAATTGAAGCATTTTCTTCCATTTTGCACACAATCTCCTAAATACCCCTCGAGGTAAGCCTCGTTATTCATCCCCCTCGCCGAGCTCTCATCCTTTCTAGCACCCACTCTTCACTTTTGTTGAACAAGACTGCAGACATCCTCACCCCATGGGGAGGTGGCTGCCTGGATAGCAGTCCGCCAAGCGGAACACACGTGCTGACAGCAGCATCTTCCAGTTCAAACGTTCCTGCTCCATACCCATGCCACCTGTTCAGAGCAGATGGGAGGCTGCCACAGCGGAGGCCAGTGCTGAAATGCCACTCGTGCACTCTGCAAACCAAATAGCTTTGTGTATACAGGAGCAGGATTTTTGTTGTTGAGGTACAATAACAAAACACAGGCTGCTTGTAATTGATTCCTACAATTGTTTTCATTCATAAATTCCTTCCATTAAGCCCAGGTATTTGGGACAGATGATTGGGAACAGGTGTATACCAAGTTCCAGTCTGTAGTGAGCACGTGGGAACTGTGGGGGCAGGAGGGGTGTTGCAGTGTCAAGGTCTGATGGCAGGAAAGTGACCAGAGCTCACCTAATTCCCTGTGGTTCAACCTGGGCTTTGGGCCCATGTCTTTATGATCACCTAGCCCCATGGGTCATTTCCGAGTTTTCTTTTAAGAAATAGTTTGGTCTCATGTGACATTATTGGAGAACTTAACAAGGGCTTATTAGAATATGGAGAAGTATAGAAATAACACTGGTGAGGGTTTATACTGAGACCATATGGTACTTTGCAGAGTGTGGTCATGGTCAAGTGAGTAGAATGGTGTGAATTTTCTTTTTTTTATGTCTTTAAAACTTCTACCCATAGTTTATATATCTTTAAGACTTCACCCCATCTTATGCATTATTGTGTCCTAAACATCAAGGTCCCTCAGATATTTGACCAAATAGCCTTTCAGATTCTGGAAAGCCGAAAAATGATTTGTTTATATCTTCAAACCACTTCCCTCTGACTATGTTCCAGGTGGACACTCTGGAGGTGATACGGCATCCAGAAGAAACCACCAATATGAAGAGGCAGACCATGGCTTCTTACTTCCGGGTATGGAGTCTTCTTGATCTCTATTCTGCCTAGTTCTAGAAAGGACTTGCCAACCCTTCCTACAAGAGGCCCAAATACAATAGAGTCATTGAAACGAGAGCAAAGCACAAGAGTCAGTTAAGAAAGGTAGAGGTGTTGCGAGAGAAAAATTATAGCAGGGTACAATGTTGTCTGATCTCAGAAAGATCAAATGAAATCCCAGGTGTCTACAGAGGACCCTCTGCCACTGGCACACAGCCCTGTCCATTGAATGTGCTGATTCTGTTAGTGTTTGAGCTACTTCTTGGCCTTAAAGCTACTGGAGTCAGCCACTTTTCCAGCATATTTACTGAAAAATAAAGTAGTTAGTAAAATTCCAGAAGGTAGCTTATCAAGTTCAGATCCTGAGAGAATCTGTCTTAGGATCGACTTTATTTTTCTAGATCAAATTGACCCATTGCAAGACACATTTTCCTGAGCCCAATTATTTCGCATCTCTGCTGCCCCAATTTCTGATATTTCGTTTGGTAAAATGACTCCTCTGAGTAAAAATGTTATCTCTGGAATGGCTCCATTAAATACACATTATTAGGAAAGATAAGACACAAATGCTTTGTACCAATTTACACAGATTTGTTTATCTTCAAATTATAAAGCATTGGGGTTGGAAGCCCCTTAGAGATCATGTACCACTGGAGCTAAGGTCCAGGCAGGCTCATGGTGGAGATGTTGTTAGGCCAAAGAGGGAACTACTGATCACAGGGACAAAAAAATAAAGTTGTAAGGTGGGGTTGCCACAGAAAGGGGCTTGGCAGTGATGGGAGGTCAGGTGGGTCGTGAGCTGGAATTGCCAGGCAGGCTAAAGGGCAGGACCTGAGAGCCAGCACCATGGACAGAAGGCTCCATGGAACGCCAAGAAGTCTGACCTAGCCAACTGTGCTTCAGGGGCAGACTGGAATTGGGCTCAGGGGATATGAATTGCAGAGGCCCAGAGGCCTTCAAGTCCAACACTCCATCCATGCAGTGATTCCTGCTACAGCTTCTCTGGCAGGTGGGTATTCAGCCCTGCTTCATCACTCTCATGGTTGACATTTCTAATTGCCACTTACTTCTTACCTTGAGAACCACCCCACTCCTGTCCCCTTTAGTTGCTGTATCTTTGTAGTGTCATGGTGTCTCTCTGTGTGTGTGTGTGTGTGTGTGTGTGTGTGTGTGTGTCCATCCCATGGGATTTGTAGGCTCTCGTGGACTCTGTGAGGTCATCCTTAAGATCCTAGAGTCCCTCTTTCCGCAAAAGAAACTTCTGGCTTATAGTTTTCCAGAAATATGACAACCAGTTTTGTGTCTTCAAAATACTCGTCCCCAAATGCAAAATCTGAGAAATAAGGTATATGGGCAAGCTAAGTAACACCATTTTGGATCAGAAGGAGGTGTGATTATGAAATAATGGGACTGACTTCCTGGGTGGCTTGTAACTGCTCCTGAAGGCATGTCCGGAAGAGGAGCTCCCACCGTGGATGCCCCTCAGCAGCACCTGAGGCTGCCCCTGCACAAGCACCCCTCTGCTTTTTCCACGCCCCCTCTCTCTCTGTGAGAGCCCTGCGCCAGCCACTCGCTGTATGTTAGTTGATCTTCATTATACTCTCCTTCTTTTCCTCCAGTTTTCTTATTTTCTTTGCCCTCTTTCAATATTTTTTTTGTTTTTGTTTTTCCTCTGTCTTATTACCAATGGTATCAGTAGGATTTGCTTAGACCTTCTGGTGGTTCTTAGGTTGAAGCTGGACGTTTTAAATTACAGATACAGTTTGTGGAGCATCATGTTGGAATACCAGAGACAAGCTAGTTCTGGTGATAAGTTATGGGGTGACCTAAGGATGTTCTTAGACAGCTAACTCTCTGCCACATGGGGCTATTGCTTGGCACTAGGTGATGTTTAAAGAATGCGTTTAAATCTGCAGGCAGCTATAAGTACTTGTCAGAACTTGTTATTATCCCCTGTTGCTGGTTTCTTGTTTGTCCTCAAAAATGTCCATGAGTTATTTGAGCAGTTTGTGAACAAACTGCTCTGGAGGCCCCTGCAGGCCTGTGTTGTAATTATCCATTACATTCGTGGTAACCTCATTTCATGAGTGTTTTTTCCCCTGCTAGTATTCTCTGATGGATCTACTCTCCAAAATGGTGGTTGGACAGCCCCACTTTGTGCGCTGCATCAAACCCAATGATGATCGAGAGGCGCTGAAGTTCTCCAGAGAGAGAGTGCTGGCCCAGCTCCGCTCCACGGGGATCCTGGAGACGGTCAGCATCCGCCGGCAGGGGTATTCCCACCGCATCCTCTTTGAAGAGTTTGTGAAAAGGTCAGGCCTGCATCTTGGGAAATACGTTATGTTAAATATAGCTCTGCCAAGGCCATCCCCATCCCCTGGGCTTGCTCCTCCTGCCCATTTGCCTCCAAAGGTGTCACTGGCTAGTTATCAGCTACTATTTACTTGCTTAAGTGTTGCATTTTTATTGTGCTCCAACTAAATTGCAGTGATCTAGAGGACAGATTAAGCTCCCTTCTGATCACATTTAAAAAATAAAAATGTCCGTAGATATTTATATGTTGTATCCTTAGGTTTCAAAATCTCCAGATATTTAATTGGCATGATGAAAGTATCCCTCCATAAGTGAGTCAAGATTCTGACACATGTAAATGCACCCAGGTACCCACTCCTCTCCCAGGATCTGGCATGATATAATATAATAGCTGACATTTACATAGCTCCTAAAATGTCCCAAAAGTATAATATCATTTGATCTGTAGAACAACCCTGTAAGCTAGGCTCTGTTATTATTCCCATTTTACAGATGAAGAAATTGAAGCACAGAAAGAAATTGACTTTACCAAGGTCTCTTGCTAGTAAGTGGTAGAGCCAAAATTTGAAGCCAGGCAGTCTGGCTTCAGCATCCACACTTTTAATCTCCTCAGTCCACTGTATTCAATCAGCATTTATTGCAATAAATTGCTATGGAGCTTTCCAAACCCAGAAACTGCCTTCACCTGAGAAAGAAATGCTGCTGTTTTTTGAACTGCCATAGGCATGCCTTGCATATGCATGTGATTACAGGTAGAATTTTCACAAAACTTTCTGTGAAGAAATAAGGAACAACAATAACAAAAAACCACCTCTGAGAAGCACTGCTGTCTGAGGATATCCAGAGAGGAAAATTAAAATCCATTATAAAATCTGCTGCACCCCGCCAGCCATCTTTAGTTTCTTTTTACCACCATTCTGAAAGTTACGCCCAAGGTCATTTTTCCAACTTTTTCTCAGAAAATAATGTATCCTAATATGGTAGCTTGCTTCATCAAGTCTTCCAAATGCCACCAAATTCCATGGAGAAAAAAGGGTAAAAAAATTTCCTTGCAATGAGAGCTTTTAAATTGAAAATAAGAATGAAATGGCTTTTTAAAAAAAAGTGTCTTTGAACTTCTTTTTTCCTCTTAAATTTGGAGGTGGAACAAGAAAAAAAAAGATTATTTTAGCTCATGAATGTGACTAGTTAAGTATTTTTAGCCACTAAGTGTTAAATACATAAAAATATTTAAGAAAACAGGTCAAATGCTAAACAGATTGGCACTTCTTTGTTCGTAATCAGAAAGCCATTAGGCAAGTATGTACAAGAGTTTCAAAATGTCAGTAAATCTGAGGGTATCAAAGATTTCTGAGCCAGCAAGTTAATTGGTATTTTGATCCTTTTGAGCAACTTAACAACAAAATGAATGAGTTAGCAGTTTTTCCCCTTGATGTTATTCAACAAATAGATGCGCCTCTTATCTTCCTGTTCAGGAGTGCTGTTTTGTAAACTCTTAGCAGGAAATATGCAGACAAAACAATCAAAGGCAGGGAACAGAGCCATTCATAGTTTATCAGGTGGAGGTAAGTAAAAGATAAAGACCTGTTTAATGTTACTCTTTACCTTTTTGTGTTTTCTGGCATTCAGGACTGAAATCCTGACGTGCACACCTGAAAGGCAGTGTTTTGGGGATTATGTTGTCAGGTTCCCCAATGGGGATGGACTTCCTCAAGTCACCCAAGTCACCCAAGTCTGCAGACTTGGCCAAACCTAAAATGCTTCCTTGTCCCATCATCCTTGAATTTTCTGGCAAAATGACTCAGAGGCGCCCTTCCTATTTTCCATTCATGGAACCTTCGAGGAAAGTATTGTTTGCAACACCTTCTCATCAGTGGGGCGAGGTGGGTTAGAAGTATTTATCTGTTTTTAGCTAGGCATGAAAGAGGCCACCTGGCAGTGCAGGGCAGGTAGCTAAAACTTCCTGGAAGTCATACTGTTGAGTGACATCACAGAAAATGACTATACCACTCATTGTCTTCATGGTCAATGGGCTCTGAAGCAGAGTCCAGCAGAAGATCTTCATTGGGGCAAACACATATGACTACATGTGTTGGGATGTGTTCTGGCAAATGTCTAAAGGAGGAACAGCACATTCAGTTCAACGTCTAATAGTTTGTTTATTAAACTGTTATAGTAAACACTGCGATTTAGTAAGGGGATCTGAGTTCTAGTCTCCTTTTGGATATAATATTTGGCAAGTGACCTAGCATTTCTGTAAAAGATGTTTCCTTATCTGCATGACAAGAAGACAGGAATACACAGAGCCAACATCTTGAAGATTTTCAGGGGTTGCATGCAGATTCCTAGGCCCTACTTAGCCTCTAAGCCTTCCAACAAGGCCCACCTCTCCCAGTCAAGCTCACAGGAGGGAGAATTTTGTCTCCCAGGACCCGATTCATATTAGTTGTTAAATCAATGCCTGTTGAACAAAATAAAACTCTTCCCTTTTCTTTTTCATCAGTAACTTCCATTTCTTCTCATGGTAGCATGAGAGCCATGGTGCTCTGATATCTCTTTCATCTCATTTTCCCTTCTATTCCTCCACTGCTTCTCCTCCAGAAATTTGGGTGTCACCTTTGACTTCTCACTTTCTTCAAACAGTCCATCACCAGGTTCTGCTGACTTTAACTGCTAAAGTTTGTCAACAAGTTCTCCTTGGGAATTTCCCATCCCTTCTCCCAAGGCTTTATTAATCTTCCATCCCTTCTCCCAAGCCCTTTTATTATTATTAATAATAATAAGAGCAACAGCTTAATTGAGATATAATTCATATATGATAAAAATCACCCTTTTAAAGTGTACAATTTAATGGCTTTAGTATATTCACAAAGTTTTGCAGCCATCACCACTATCTAATCTGAGCATCTTTCATGTGCTTTTTGGTCATATGTATGTCTCCTTTGGAGAAATGTTTTTCCAAGTCCTTTGCCGACTTAATTGTTGATTTTTATATATTCTGGATACCATGGCGGAGGAAGAAATTTTCCTCTATCCTTCTAGGTTCTTCTGGATGGTCTAAGAATTCAATTGACATGAGACAGATTAACAGGAGAAAATTGAACAAAGTTTAATAACAGTATACATGGGAGAAACCCAGGAAGACTGAGTAACTCGCCAAAATGGCCAAAGCCCTCACCTTGAATACCATCCTCAGCTAAAACCAAAGGAAGATGTAGTGGGTAGTGGTTTGGGACTTCAAAGTGGAGGAAGGCAATTCACATGGAGATGGAAAAGCAAATGTTTGGTAAACAAGTGTTTGCCATGCCTTGCAGAGACATGGGACATGGAGGGACTTTGATCAAATGGGCCTTTCTAGGTTCCTCCCTGCCTACCACACCTAGTTCATATTATACTATAGTTATCTATGGTGATATTTCCTTCCTGGAACAGGACTTCTAAAATTCTTGTAGGCAGTTAGGGGAAAGGTCAAATTTCTTCTTGAGTCTTTTGTTCTTAAAAATAATCAGCCAAAATAATCCTCAAGCTGAAGGGACACAGTTTTGGGGTAGCAAATTCTGTTTATCTACAACACTAATCCCTTATCAGATATATGATTTGCAAATGTTTTCTCCCATTCTGTGAGTTGTCTTTTCAATTTCTTGATGGTGTCCTTCGAAGCACAAAAGTTTTTAATTTTGATGAAGTCCAGTTTTTCTGTTTTTGGTTTTTGGTCATGCTTTCGGTGTCATATCTAAGAAACCATTGCTTAATCCAAGGTCATGAGGATTTATTCCTATGTTTTCTTCTAAGAGTTTTATAGTTTTAGCTCTTATATTTAGATCTCTGTTCTATTTGGAATTAATTTTTATATATAGTGTGAGGTAGGGGGTCCATGTTAATTCTTTTGTGCATAGATATCCAGTGTTCCCAGCACCATTTGTTGGAAAGACTTTTCTTTCTCCTGTTTGTCTTGGCATCCTAGTTAGAAATCAATTAATCATAAATGTAAGGGTTTATTTCTGAATTCTCAATTCTATTCCATTGATCTATATCTATTCCAGGTCTTTTAAATCTCTTTTGCTCACCCTTTTGACATAGCTTCCTAAATGGACTTCCTGCCTATTCTGTTCTCCAAAGAGCCACCAAAATATGATTTACCTAAAACTCCTATCTAAGCATGTTGCTTCCTTGATTAAAATCCTTAATTGAAATGACCATCCAAACTTCCACTGGGTGAGCTTCAGCCCCTCTGCCTGATACAAGAAAGTCTCCCTGATCTGGCCCCTGCCCACCTTTCTAGTCTCTTCTCTCTTGTCTTCCCACTTCACCTCTCAGCTCACACTCCAGCAAGAAGTGAACTACTTAGAGCTCTATAAACATCCCATGCCATTCCATGCTTCTGTGCCTTTACTCATGCTATATTGCTTGAATCCTCCTTCTCTAAGCCGTCAGTCAGCTGACTTAACCAAGCTAACCCCTGCTCATTCCTTAGGACTTTGAACAGGCATTATCTTCCCTGTGACACCCTCCTTGACTTCCCCAGCTCCCAGTTTATGAGCCCCTCCAATGAGCTTCACTGGTAGAACTTACTACATTGTAGTGGCAACTAGCCAGCTGCCTGTCTCTTATCTTGACATAAACCACCTGGGATGCAGGGATATTTTTCAACCAACTTTATATTTGTACTGTCCAGCACAGTGCCTGACACAGATTAGGTGTTTAATAAACATTTATTGAATTGAATCAAACTCTTACTCCTTTTCCTTCATCACTATCTTCTTTTACCATCTCCTGACTGACTCTTTGGTCCTAGTTGATTTTTTTGTTTTTTGTTTCCTGTTTTTCTCCCTGAAGTCCCAGTACATGGTTATATATCTAGTTATAAGTTGTTTTAGCTCTTCTATGTGAGCTGCCGCCACAGCATGGCAACTGACAGGTGGTATGGTTCTGCACCCAGGAAGCAAACCCGGGCTGCTGAAGCAGTGAGCAATGAACTTTAACCACTAGACCATTAGGG